GACAAGACTAAATTACTACTTAATTTTGTAGTACCGTGTTGCAATAAACATAATGTCAGTCAATTCTTATAAACTTAACTTTTTTTTTTTTTTTATGAAAATCAGGCATCTGATGATTGATAATTCAGCCTAAGCTGACAAAAGTGATTAGCCAGGCACCAATACTGCAAACCTACAATGAGTATTAATAAACTCCAGAGGCATCCTTCATCACTCTCCTGACAAAATTGTTTTCATCTTTAGTGTCTGGAATCATGTCTTTCTTAAGACAGTCCCATACATGCATAATATGACTGAAGTCTGTTTAGTGCACATTTCAATTAATTTAACCTCTCCATCATTCTTCAAATAATGCATCAACTAGTTTACAATGGTGAGGGCAAGCAATATCATTCATGCTATGAAGATCAAGTGTACTGTCATATGGTACCACAAAGGGTCTTAAAATGTCATCCCTATAATGTTTGCTGTCAGTGGTACAATTCCATAGGATGTATGGGTCAACACATCCTCTAATGCTCAGCCCTACCAACACCATACATCCATTACTGCCATATGCAACATTTTTCTGCATGAAAACAGTGTTGGATTTGGTTCCAGGTTTACTTCTAATAAGTGTACATCATTTAACTGATGTAAGGTGAATTTAGTGGATTATGAAAATAATATTGCCACACAAATTATTGGTCCATTGGACACACTCTTGGCCCACAGATGAACTGTATTGTCCTTTGTTGTGATGGGAAATTGAGCTTATTGGGCATCTGACATAAAGGACAGCATTGTGAAGCCTATTTCTAAGCACCTGTGTACTGACACGACATCCAGTTCTAAATGTGAGCATCTGATCCAGTCTCACAGTAGGTGCCCTTTTAACTGTAATTTGTATTGAAGATTTTTAGCAACTCCTCTGGTAGAGGTTAATACATAATTGTGATACACTTATTTGGAAATGTTAGACATTCTGAAACACTGGTGGCCAACTGACAACAGCATGCTATGATTGGCTGGCTTTCATTCCTTTAATGGCTCTCCACATTAATGAAATTTCTAAACATTTTGAAGGTCTAGCCATGGTAAATGAACAAGATGGATCACTTTAAACTCTGTGCTTCACTTTAAAGTGATAAATTACACAAGAAACCCTTACCTGTAGAATATACAAACCACCAACAATTTGCATTACAGATCACATGGCTAATCATTCTATGTTTAATATATATAACAATGAACTAAGGAAGATGACTGGCATTAGTTCATAACAGTGGTTTTTCATAGTCATAGCCAGAATATTACAAATTTTGGTTATCCTTTAATTGATAAGGGATGTGTATCTTTCTTAACTATGTGAACATATTCTCAGACAGTGATTTGAAAATGCTTTACTGACAAACAGTATTTTGACTTTTCTGCTGCAGCTGTTACCTGTGTATAGCTAACAATAATAATCTAATGACAACTCTCAGTCAACCAAACTAAGAGGTTAGTACACACAGATGAATTCATTGTTAAAGCAAAGTTAGAAAAACATCAACAATTGAATTAATAATTTCCTTGCCAATGCAAGGTTTAATAGGCCAACTACAGCAGTCATGCAACAAAGAATTATTTAATGTTTTTATTAACAATTAGAAAAATGTAAGAGAAATTCACATATAAAAACATTGCTATTATAATGCACAATAAATAAATGTGTGTGTGTGTAGTCTTAAAATTTAATATCCTTGCAAAATATTAATAAGTCTCAATTTCTTACTCCCTTATGTTTCTACTCTGTAAATTACATATGCTTACATCCAAATGGTTCAGAAAAATCGTAAATTAACCCACTTTTGCACAATAAATTTCTAAAATCATTCTTCTAAAAATAATATTCTGCTAGTTGGACTTCTGTAGATTTTTAGTTTAAATGTTTACACATTTCTGCTTTTTGTTTGATTTGTACTTATTTATCTAGGCTAACGTTTAGAAGCAATGATGAGGCTTATTATTTTTTAATCTACTTCTTGGTTGTTCCAGTAGTTGCTATAGCCAACTATAAAAAAACAAAAATGGATAAGTACTTTGCAAGTTTCTTTCATTGAAATACTTGTTTGAAAATTAAGAGCTACACAACTATAATTATTACTATTAATTTAGTACTGCCTTTCCTAGTAGTTTATTTAGTCTTATATTCATTAAGCATTTGTTTTCTACCCACAATAGTGGTAGATTCACCATGTTTTATGTTTATTCCAATGTTCACAAAAATTTCTCATACCAGCAATTGTCCAACAACCAATTTCAAAATTTGAATTTCGATAGTCGTCATTATGGTAAAAGCACATCTTTAGTTCTCTACTTTCTATGTCTAAACACATTTCAACGATCGTAAAAAGTACTGTAATTTTAACAATCACATTGTACCAAAAAAATTTTGTCTTTCTAGGAAGAAATTAACCTTTTCTGAAATTGAAAATGTATTTCAGATGGTACTTACCTTCTTTCACACAAAGCTATCTTGATCTTCTTTCTGCCCCCAAAGCATTGCTAAAAAAAATGTTAATACTCTGTGCACCAGTCTATACACCCCACAAATTTCATGCCACTTATGAACATGTATATAGCATGTGACCACCTTCTACCAATAGTATTGTGCCACCTATATTGGCACAGCTAGCTCCTTCTGATTTTCTCTCTCAATCCTCACTTTTGAGATGGGCAGGATCTAATATGAAGAACACCAGCAGTGCAGAGGAAGGGTACAGGTATTGCCCTATTCTTATGGTTGAGTTGAGGCAATAACACGATCCCACAATGTAGAGTTCAGTTTGTTGTACTTCTTGCTCCTACGGTGGATTTGGGAGTTTATTCGGATTTGGCCAAATGATACTTACTTACTTTTAATAATTCTAACTGTATGATGTATGACCCTGTTTACTTACAGTTGGGGTTGGTATGTGTGTGTGTGTGTGTGTTATATATATATCACACAATCCACATACCCTACCTACAATGTTCATGTTACTCTAATTTCATCTTTATCCAGGAGATCCTCAACCTTCTAATGCCGAGAATGGGTTGTGGAACCTCGTCTGTCCAGCTGAAGTTGGGTAAATACCTAGCCATGACTAGATGTTTTTATCCATTGTTATATTTTAGCAAACTGTTCCTTGACTTGCCATTTCTCCTTATGTGAGTATCGAATTTGCTTCAAGCTTTCATTTCGTAGAGCAAGCTCTTCAACTACAGGAATCTGCTGTTTCCTGGTGTGGTTTGCGATGGTGGAGGATGATTCAAACTCGTGCCTTTTTTTTAGCTACAGTTTGCACCTCCCAGAACGAATTAAGCTTTATTTTTTTCCACCCATATCAAGTTCATTTCGTTTTTATTGGGCAACGAGTATATCTGTTCCAAAAATAGTGCAGTGTCCCACATGTGTGCTTCGGTTTTGTCTCCGAGCACACCAGTTATTTCTAGGTGGTCACTTTCCACTTAGATTCACTGCTAGATGCCTACAACAGCCCCTTCACCTTCTCACACATTTTCTCCCCAGTGTTCTTCATATTAGATCCTGCCAGTTGAGAAAGTGAGGATTGAGCAGAAAAATCAGAGGGAGCTATGTGCACCAATAATAGGTAGTGCAGTACTATTGGTGGAAGGTAGTCACATGCTATATACACATTCATAAGTGATGCAACATTTGTGGGGTATATAGACTGGTTTGCTGAACATTTTTTAGCAATGCTTAGGGGGCAGAAAGAAGACTGAGGTAGCTTTGTGTGAGAAGAGGTATGACCATACCAGAAAAACTTGTGTATTTGGTATTGAATCCAGTTTTAAAATTTATTGGGGTTGATATATGTATTTTATCCAAGCAAAACATTATCTGATTCCACTTACAGCTAACAATCTCCATGTTATTGGTCTCACTGCAGGTGGAATTCCAGCCCAACTTAGTTCTTTAAGTTCCTCTACATCAAGAAGAAAAAAATTACAAAACTTTAGTTAATTAAACATAAAAAAACAAATCATTATTACTAAGACCCCAATATCCAAGGTCTTTCATCAAGTCAAGTTAAAAGGTATAAGAAGTAGGCTTCAAGTCTTAAAAAGTTGCAATGACTTTTGAATATGATACACAAAAAATTGTAATAAATATTGTAAGTTTAATCTTTGGTGATGAATTTAAACTATTCGTGAAAGTATTAGATAAAACCACATATAGAAAACAAAGGCATATTGACAAGTACCTACAATGCATTATCAAAATATATTTATGTACAGAAATGACAAACATTTGTTTTATGGTAAATTTTAACATTTTATATAAAATTACAATATAACAATTGTATCCACTGGAGAAACATAAATGTCATCTTAAAGTATTTTTAGTGATGGGGCATTTGCTGAATAGATACAATTTCCAAATAGCCAATGAAACTAAAACAACCATAAACAGGATTTGTATTGTTAAAATAAATAGTAGAGATTGATCTATATTTCTATACAGAGGAAAACAATTATGACTTTTCTAAGTAAACACTTACTATATGTGTAATCTACTTCTTAAGATAATAAAGAGTAAACTTCCAAAGTGTAAAATCAAACATACTAGCATTAAGTTATGTACACACTAAAACAGGAGTAGCCAACCTTTTTTATGCTATGGGCCAGATTTTGATTACCGGAGTCGACCCGGGCCGCATTCAACTTTAAAATATAGTGTTGGTAAAAAAAAGTGGCCACCCTGAGCTTAGTATTTTTCAATGCTCTGATACAGCTCTCATTTGGCTGTGGTCACAAAGAATCTTATATCAATAGATAGAAAACTTTCTTGGCTTTTATATGATGTACTTTACTTTTGATATTGCGCCATTAGGTGTTCTCTAGAGACCAAAAATAAAAATTTCATCATTTTTTGTCAATCGAGTTATCTCTGGTGGAAAAGATGTTTGGATAATAATTTTACATCAGTGAATAGAGAATGAATGGACCTTCATTTGACACTTCGATCAGCAAAATCAGTCCACATTCGGTCAAGGATTCTTATGTTCACCCAATTCTGTCAGATTATTGAGATAGACTCATTTACGGTGAGCTTGTTGCTCTCAGTTTGAATTTTAATCGTTCCTCCAGTCAGACCTCTGTCGCTAAGGTCGCCGAGACGACAATGAAAGAATGGCTCAAATTGCCTCAGCCGAAACCTGATGGAATGAAAGAGTGAGTTATCGCCTCCTCGCTACTCGCGAGAACACAACGGTGACGTCAAGTGAAATTATCAAATGATGACGCACAAATCCCTCATGCAAATTAAGGATAATAAAAAGGCCGCAGGGGCTGTCTAAGTATCATGCGTGGGCTGTAATACAGTGAATTTTATAAATGTTAGGCGGGCCGCATGCGGCCCGGAGTTTGGCCACCCCTGCACTAAAACATTAAATTACTAATAAATGCCTAACTCCACAGAAATTTGTCAGTATATTCAGCAGTTTTTAACCAACCCTAATAGGGGTATTTTTTAATTTTTACTTTCCACATTTAAATTTTCAAAGCTGTCATTATGGTGAAAGAAAATGTTTACTTTTTCTATTCTTTACCTTTAAACTTGTCAATTGGTATTTGATAATTTGACATCCACAGAGTGCATGTTTGAGTGTTTGTGATTACTTTTAAATATGCATAATATTAATTTTTTTGGTGATTGTAATAAAACCTAATATAAAAGCTACCAGGCTTCATTCATTCTTGCACTGGACATTTAAAATATTACAAATATAAAAAAGGTATTCAATCATAATACAAACTTTCCAACAAGTACATATTTGTCTTCAATTTTTCCATTGGTTTCTTATAAAATCCTAAAGTAGATCATCTTATAAGTTTTATAGTTTGTTTGTTTTTCACAGTTTTGAAATGTATTTAATTATACAACAATGCTAAAAATATATACAATGATTGCATCTTTTTATCTTGCTACCCCAAGATAACAGTTTTGAAATATATTTTCAATATTTACTCTAAACTTATGACTGAAAAAAATAAATGTAGCGATAAATTGAAATCAATACAAAATTCAAGTCATTACAAACCTAAATCAGTGTTAGGTCCATTTAACAGAGATTTGAACTTCTTTAATCTTACTACTTCCCGCTGTGAATTTCTAGACTGTAGATACTTAAGATGGACCATATGGTGTGAGATTGGGGGCACTGTAGATTGTCGAACACCTCGTCCTGGTCCCTGGGGGGGATGTGAGGGCACATTGTTAGATACTGGATGATGACTGTGACAGGATGGGTCTGAAAAATAAATAGATGAAATACATTTGTGCAAAGATGCAAATAAGTAAATACACAATACTCTGTAAAATAATTTACATTAAAGTTTAAATCCACACTAACAAAACAATGCCAAATTTAAATACAAAGGTTATCAAACTTCAACAAATCTCAAGGTCACTTTATATTGGACCCCATTCTGATGGAACTTCCATTATAAAATAAGTAGTGTACGTGTTTCTCCCACAAACAAACATCTCCATTAAAATTTGGTATTGTTCCATTAGCGTGAATTTAAACTTGACTGTAAAAGACACAAGTGTTTACAAAATCAGAAACATTAGTTTTTTAAAGATTCACACAACCAGATATTTTCATATTTCTTTTTATTTTCTAACACTTTAGAGTTTATAGCCATCAATAAATGTTTCATTAGATCTATTTTCACAACTACAAGCATACTTAGCTTCATAGATAAAATGGAATTGTTCACAACTTTAGTCTTCAGATGTAAATAACAAGGCTGTAAATTTTCTAAAGAATTGAATACCAAGAGCAGACAGGCTTCGAATGTGAATTTCTACTTGCATGATAGGTGCTTTAAATTAACTAAACTATTGAGCCTAATTGAAAACTGCAAGCCTCATTCTAACTTTATTAGTTGATTAGAAATAGGAAGGACTCAGTTATGGCACTTAGTTTTTGAAGTTCATAATCAAGAGATTGCTAGGTGAGACATACTTGGATTAACTTCTCAACTATTTGGAACTATTAGCAAAGACAGACTTAACTGTTCTAAACAGTTGTAACTATTTTGGTGAAGTGAACTAGATTGCAAATTGAATTACCTTTAAAGTAAGTATGAATGAATTATTAATGTACATATATTAGAAGTATTTTAATGGATTTTTTTCAAACCCAGTAGGACTGAAATATCCTTAAATAAACACAAGTAATTTAAACAGGTGAGACAAATACTGCTTGACACAAGACTGGAAATAAGACTTAAAAAATTAAGTTCAATTCTTATTAACTTATTATTCTTATTAAAGCAATACATAGCTCATAACTAAAAATTAAACCACTAATTACTATAACTAATTTAACATATTGATCTATTCATGAGTATGCAATGGTATAAAAAAAAATTTGGTAATGATCAGAATTCATTGGTTCATTATATGAATTATGTGAAAAACCTTTTAAAAATACCATGAAAGCTTCTCAAAAATGTGGGTTCATGTTTAAATGTTTATTTGACATGAAACTCACTATCAAAATGAATATGAGTTTTTTCCCCTATTGCTCCTGATATATCATAAATTAATAGTATCCATGTCTTAAAAACAAAGCATTTAATTTGCCAAATTGCTAAACTTTACTTTAATGGCTAAGTTAGAGTGCATATACTTAACTTTTTTGTTCTTAAATGTACCAAATTTTTTAAACCCGTGACAGCTACTGTGTATGATAATGTAAATATTTTTATGTAGGTAAAATGACAAAGGTGACAATAACCTTTTTACCCATGTAAAAATGTGGATCCTCCATTTGTACACAGACAACTAATTAGTTTTTGTATTACCAAGAAAAATGAGAATGCTCCCATGTACTGAGGTATCACTATCACTCTACTAGAATCTGCACAGTATATCATCATGACTGTAACAGCCTGACTAAATACCAAATGGTAATGCTTAAAAGTTAAAAGAAATATACATTATCATTATACCACTTTGGACAGCCAGTCTTTGTATAGCAGTGGTTCGAACCTCGGACAAGTGTGGACCACCGGTTTTCCTGGTTATACCTGCTTCACCAGCAGAAGCTGACCGAGTATGTCCAGTTGTTATAGCTCTGCTTCGTCCACTGTGGTTACTTATCACAGTCAAGGCTGTTGATTGGGCAACCTTGGGATGAATGACATCTGTAAAGGTATTTTATAGATATCTACATAAAGATATGGGTAGCATACAAGCCTCCATAATTACATTTATTAACTTTCCTCCCACTAAGTTTATTTTTGGAAATAAAGTGTTTCTACAAATACCTTCTAACCAAGCTACTACTTACACAGATCAGAGCTAAAAATTAACCCAGTAAATAATATAACTAATTTACCATACCAGACTACCAGAAATATGCAAAATCATAAAATAAAATCCTGTAATGAATAGAATGCACTGATTATGGAAAAAAAAAACATAGCAAGATTGTGGTCAACTCTTTTTTGCCCTATAAAGAAAAACAACAACTATTATTTAATTTAAAAAAAAAAGATAAATACAGCCATGCATGCTGTTATCATTATTAAAGAAACATATTATTTAATCAGATTATTCTATAAGTGTTTGTATAGTTGTTCAATAAGAGAATTTTTAAATAATGCTTTTAATAGGTAAGGATTCTTCATCAGCAAAGTCATACAGATTAGCACCCAGCCAATAAAGAGTTGAAGAAACTTTCCAAGATCTCTATATACACTATTAAATTATAAAAACATTAGTATTTTTTCTATACTTGGATGTTTATTCATTCATTATTTATAGTTTAATCTCAAAACAATAACACTACCACATGAAACAAACAAATTTCTCCTTACTTGAAACAACACAAAAATCATCATCTCCTACGTCCCAAGCATCATCTGTGCTTTCTTGGAAATCTTGGAATGAACTGGAAGATGAATTTCTCTTGTGATGTGTCCTTGATGAATCTCTTTTTGGGGTGGAAGGCCTGTAACAGATTATATAAAAGAAGTTCATCTTAAAAAAGTGAGATATTGTATAAGAAATATATCTTACAAAAAAGTAAAGACAGAGAATATAAGAAATATATTTTACAAAAGAAAAAACAGTATATTAGAAATACATCTTCCAAAAGTAAAGACAACACATAAGACATAAGTACAAAAATACACACAAAATAAGTCTTCCAAAAGTAAAGACAACACATAAGTAGAAAAATACACACAAAATAAGTCTTCCAAAAGTAAAGATAAGACATAAGTAGAAAAATACACACAAAATAAATCTTCCAAAAGTATAGAGAATGTATAATAAGAAATACAGCTTACAAAAGTAAATGTATTTACATCTCACTATAAGTGTATAAAAATGAAAAAAAATATCTTAAAAAAGCACAGACATTAATATAAGAAGTACATCTAAAAAGTTATGTATAACAAACTATAAGTTATAAAGCACACATAAGCTTTTCTTGTGAATAATTCATGTCAGATAATTGGATATGTACAATAAAGCTTTAAAAGTGCACATACTGCTTATAAAACTACAACATTAAATCTAAAGTGTTTATTTCCGAAATCTTGATCAAGGGTATGAATCGTTCTATAAGTTCCTATGATATAATGGCGGAGTTAAATAAGCAAGGGTTTGAAACCAATAAACCTGAAGGAATCCTCGGTAGAAAAAAAAATGAATTTACTACTTCTGTAAAAAGGTTTTTTACTAAATGAAGATGATTGTAAAAAATTAGTTAAAAATGGACATAAAATATGGGCATATGGCTGAAACATACACAAATTTAATTAAATGTGTAAGATGTGCAGGAGAACATGAGGTTAAGAATTGCATGGTGGTACGTGAACAAACTAAATGTGCAAATTGTGAAGGTGATCATCATGCTAGTTCTAAGCTTTGTGAAATATATAAGGATGAAGAAATAAAAGCATATAACATTCCCAGAAAGAAAAATGTATGTTAAAGTTTTAAAAGTTACAAGTTCTACATTATCTAAATCAGATATTTCATACAGTTGCTATGATTATGGTTGAAACTTTGATAAAATTAAAAGATTCTAAAACTAGTAGCAATGATATAGTTAAATATGTATGTGAAGTGTCAAATAGTTATATTGATTTAAAGTTGGACCAAAAAGTGATATCGTTAAATATAAGTCAAGATATTTTACCTAGAGATGATGGGTAAAATTTTTAAAAAGCAGAATGAATTGTTTTATTACATATATTGTAATAATATTCATATAATGGGTATATGTGAAACCATATTAACCAACAATAAAAACTTTTGTTCTAAAGGATATAATATTTATAGGAAGGGCAGAGATATCAATAAACATTCATTAGGGTTAATAGTTTTAGTCAGACTGTATAAGATCAGAGGCTGAGCAAGTGACATCTATGGATTCCAGTGTTAATGAAGTCTTAGTTATTGATGTATGGATTTCAAATATTAAAATTATAATTGCTACTAATTATAATTCACCCAAAAATCATCCTGATCAAAATGTTTTTACATAATTAATAAGCTATAATGATAATTTACTAATTATGGATGATTTGAATAGTAAACACAATGCTTTTAGCTGTGAACAAACTAATGTAAATGGAGAATATATGTTTAATATTGTAACTTCATTTAATTTAATTATCCTTGATGATGAACAGTATACCCATATAAATAATACTACTGGTAAAACAGATATTCTAGATCTTATTTTGACAACTGCTAAGTTATACCCTCATATTTATATTGGAAAAATAAGTAATAAAAGAAATAATCCAAGAATTGTGGAAAAATTTTATTTTAGAAAAGCTAATTGGTCAAAATTCAATGAATATCCTTTGTGAAAACCTAAAATAATATGAATTTGAAACTGTGAATAATGAAGAATAAATTAGAAGAATTTACTGAAATTATTTGTAATGGTTTTATAAATGAGGCTAATCTAAGTATACCTAAATATTGGTTAAAATAATAATTCAAAATTAACAATTAGATTTAATTGATTTAGAGCTTTGGTGTAAATTATGGAGGGTGTATTTCAACCCAGATAAAACTAAATTGATAATTTTCTATAGGAAAAAATAATATATCTAAACAAAATTCACAATACACAAATTGGATTAGTTGAATATAAAAGGAAATTAAATTGGAAATATCATGTTAATAGTTTAATTTTAAAAAGTTGGTTTAGATTTAACATGTTAAAAAAAATAATTACAAAACAGGGAAGATGTAACAGTAAAACTATAAGATTTAGAAAGTATATATACGATCAGTTCTTAAATACACAGCTAGTGCATGGTTCAGCATTGATTTGTTTAACTAAAAAATATTACAAACTTTACAAAATACTGTACTATGACTAGCTATGAATTCACCCTTTAATACATCCATAAAATATTTGCACCAGCAGTTTTTCTTTGCCAACTTTAAATCAAAGATTAAGATATCTTACTCAAAGTTATTAAAAAAATAATAACTCAAATTTACTAAAGGAGATAAAGGATAATACAATATTTAGGACATATAAAAAAATATAATACTCCATTTAGTTTGTATTGTTATAGTTATAGGAGTTCAATACATTCTTAGAATTTTAATTTATACATTTAAATTTAATAAATTTTAGTTTTATACAATTTATTTATATTAATAAATAAATGAATGAATAAATAAATAAATAAATATATATATATATATATATTTCATTTTATTTATTATATAATACAATTTTAGAATTTATTGTAATTAAGAAGTTTTAAAATATAATATTAATTTTTATATTTTAATATGATTTTATTTTCCTTTATATTAAATGTATATATAGAATTAATGTTATTTAACTCCATCATTAAATTTATAAATATGCTCTGTTTGTGAAGGAGGTTCATTAGAACTTGAAACACTAATCCTCAAGCTTTCAAATATGCATTTTAGTACACAGAAATATATTAAACATTAGAATAAAATGTCCCAATGCTACTACAGTTTATCTGGCTTTCTAATTAACTTCTAAATAGGTTAAAAAACACCATTACTGCTCAGAGTAATGTCTTTAGTCTAAACACATTTTTAAAAGCCAAAAGATATTGAAGGGGCATATCAATATGGATTAAAAAACATAGGGATATCTCAGTAAAGCAATAAGTTGAAATTTTATATTGTAGCTTGTCAATATCTATAGCATGTGTTTATGATTGGTTGAGTAGACTGAAAATCTTATATGGGAAGATAAAATATCTATACACAAAAAGTCAGAATGCCACCATTTCATGTGACTCAGAGGTGCAAAACTTATTTAAATATTTCCATTTGAAGTTAAGAAATTAAAACTTAGACAATATAAAAATTTGAATTAAAAATATGTTTTGATGCCAAGTTTATTAAATACACTGTTAATAAATTAGTTTAATTAAATTTTAAAATGTAAATCTGTGAAAAGATCATGACAAATGCACTTGAAAGATTGAGATTTTGGGAATAATGGTCATTTCCTTCTAATTTTATTACCAAAATCACTATACTTAGTTTTTACTTTATTTACAATCAAGCCTAAGATATAAAAATTATGGCAATAGGTTTTGAAAATAAGTGTGGATAGCTTAATGAAAATAACTGATATTTTATTTACAATAAATATTTCTTATAAATTATAGTCCCATATATCTAATACAATGTTGTAAAAGTAATGTATAAAATTTTGTAAAAAAATGCATACTATAAAAATGTCATCTACTTCCCAAAACATTCATTTTTTATCTACAATATTCTACTGGGTGAATTGTTGATGTATATCTTGTGTTGATTATCCATGAATTATCTCATTATTCCTTAATAGTAACTAAAAAACTAGAACAAGCCAATAATCTATAAAAACTGCATATCACTACAGTTGTCATCAAAATAAAATAAACTAGAGAACCTAATTTTATTTCACTTATCTTAATTCAGGTTTCAGGAAATGTCAATATTAACCATGTTATAACTACATAAAATAATAAAAGTCATCTTTACAAATGTATATGTAAATTTCTAGAAATAAAAAATGAATATATTCACAAACACAATTTTGAAAAAAAAGCCAGAAGAATCAACTAGATAATAATTACCAAAATCTGACAAAAGTTAAGTATTGAGAACTTCTAAGACTGAGGATAATAAATATACATCAAACAAAATATCTTTATATAGTACCACAAAGCATTAGAGTTTTCCAGTGACTTTTCTGACCAGAATAAATGCAAGCTGTATATTTTGTAATTCACTGCTTGTAGTTGTTGTTGTTTGTTCTGAAGCAAAAAAAAAAGCTCTGCCCACCACAGATATCGAAACTTGGTTTCTAGAAATATAAATCTGCAGAAATACTGTTGTGTCACTGTGGGGCACTTATAGTCAATAATTCACCATTAGCTGTTTTTGACATATACAGTGGTGGCTAAAGAAGGCAAGAAAAGGGTTTCATAAGAAGAAACAGTAGGAACATTCAACAATCTAGAAGTGAGATTCTATCTTATATTAATGGTGCTATATGGCTACAGTAATAACTTTCAGTTGTGCACAAATGTGGTTACCAGCAATTCATCATGTTATACAGGTACCAGCTATACTGTATGTTTCACATTAATAAAAAATGTAACTTCCAT